CGGGCGGGGAGCGGCGGGAGCGCGGAGCGCGGAGCACTGCCGCCTACCGGCACCGGCAGCGGCTCCGCCACCGGCGCGGCCCCGGTACCGCCACCGCCTGCCGGGAGCGGCTCCGGCGCCGCCAGCGGTACTGGCACCGGCACCCACACCGGCACCGGCGGCGGCTCTGCCACCGGCATTGGCACTGCCACAGTCTGCTGGCACCGGCCGTGACTCCAACACGGCTGCGGGCGCTGGCAGTGGCACCGGTGCACCAGCATCGCCACCGCCACCACCACCGCCACCGCTGGCATCGACACCGGCACCAGCATTGGCACTGCCACGGGAACCGGTGTCGGTGCTGTCACCAGCACCAGTCTTTGCATCGACWCCTCCACAAGAGGAGGTGACATTGGCACTGGCACCAGCCCTGCACCAGCGGGAGCATCAGCATCTGCAGGGGCACAGGCACGGGTGTCAGCGCGGGCATTGACACCAGCACGGGCACTGATACCAAGGCCCAGCACTGGCATCAGCACCAGCACCGAGCCCCAGGATCACCACCAGCACCGAGCCCTGGCAGTGCCCAGAGCCCAAACCCCCTGGGATAACTCCCTCAGCTGGGCACCCCGGGCATCCCAGACAGAAAACCCTCGTGTGAGAACGTTCTGGGTTTGGAGACCACCCCGTGTGCTCATCCAGACGCTGGAACCTTCATTCTGACTGTGCCAGGGGCTGGGCTGGCGCCAGGCCAGGGAGAAGTGTTACAGTCCCACCTGCCTGGGATTATCCTGGGAAAAGCTCCTCCGGTGCCTCAGTGCTCCAGGATCCGTATGGATGGAGCTCTCCYGGGCTGGGCACCGTCAGGATGACCCCATCCTGGGGAAAGAAAGGGCAGTGGGACAAGAAGAGTTAACGGGCTGAGCAGCTCCAGGATGGCATCACTCCCTGTCCCCTCCAGCACTGTGTCCCCCAGCTGGGACACCCCAAGCTCCCACAGCCCCAGGGCCGGGCCTTTTTCATAAAAACATTTTCTCCAATATCCAATCTAAATATGAGCCATTTCMAATTTTCCTGTTCCCTGGGATCAGAGTCCAAACCCTCCGGCTGCCCCCTCCTGTCAGGGAGTTGTGCAGAGYCACCAGATCCCCGCTGAGCCCCCTTTGCTCCAGGCTGAGCTCCCCCAAGACTCTGAGGTTTCTTTATCTCAGCCGTGGATTCACCAGGTGCCAGCTCAGACAGGGTCTGCCTGGTTTATCCTGAAGATTTTCCAAACCCCTCTTACCATGCACATATTTCCCTGGAATGTCAGTTCCTCCAGGGATCCCCAGGACAGCACCTGCTGGAGATGCTGCCCTTGGTGGCAGTGGGGAGTTCAAAGCTGGCTCTGCCAGAGCAGCTGTGCCCTCTCTCCATGGGCCCTGGAGCATCCCATGGGATCCAGTGCTCAGGAGACAGAGGAACCATCCCTGCTGTGGGAATGGAGCTGTGTCCCAGTGCAGGACACATTCCCTCCTGCTGAGGCTCCCCGAGGATGCAGGATGTCCAGGCTGTGAAACCAATCCCACATCGGAGCATCCCAACCTGGAGAGGGACCTGGGACCAGGGATGGAGGGACAGGACACAGGGAATGGCTTCCCACTGCCAGAGGGCAGGTTTAGGTGGGATATTGGGCAGGAATTCCTGTGAGGGTGGGGAGGCCCTGGCACAGGGTGCCCAGAGCAGCTGTGGCTGCCCCTGGATCCCTGGCAGTGTCCAGGGTTGCTTGGAGCAGCCTGGGACARTGGGAGGTGTCCCTGCCCAAGGCAGGGGGTGGAATGGGATGATCCTTAAGATCCCTTCCAAGCCAAACCAGTCTCGAATTCTATGAGGAATAAAAGCAAAGCCAGCTCCAGGACTTCATTCATGAGAAGAAAACAATGAGAAGCCAGTGCCAAATGGTTTTTGGGGCATTATTCCTGTACTTGGAATCGGCAGGATGCTCTGAGACCAAGTGTATTTTCCCAATCCTGTTCATAACTCCTGGAACTCCAGCACAGCACCAGCTGATTCTCCACAGCTCCTCAGGGGCTGCTGAGCCCAGAGACTTTGTTCCAGCTGGAATCTGTGACTGAGGACACCCCTGTGCCTGTTTGAGATAAYTTTATGGATGGGCAAACACTCCCAAGTTCCAGCAAGCCCTCTCCCCCACCAGGGCACCAATTTCCACAGAAGGAAAGTGAAAAGAAAGAAAAAAAAACTGTTTATTTAACAAAACAGAGCAATATGCCCACAAGACATAGGAAAAGGGGACAAAGGAATTACTAAAATTCTGTGGAAACAGCTGTTGGGTCTGAGAGTCCTTTTCTCTTTGGGCGTGGGGCTCCCCCTCTGGGGGTCTCAGAGGGCTGGGTCACTCTGGTGGCTCCCTAGAGGATTTCCCACTCACCATCTCACAGAACTCTTCTGAGTCTCACAGGAATCTTCTGATTCTCGGACAAGAGAAAAATAGCTGAAAAAAAGTTGAAAGAAGAAAAACCAGAAGCAGTCCCAGGGAAACAGCTTTCCYCGCTGCTGCTCCTTYCRCAGCMATAGTGGAATTGTGTGATTTGTTCCTCTCCGACACTGTCCTTGAGTGGGGAAGGAATAACAAAACCATAAACTCTCGCCAGTGCAGCAAGGGTTGTTTTTTTTCTCTGGGCATAGGCAGGTGATRAGAATACAGTCATCCATCCTAGGACAACCCCTCCAGCTGAGGCAACACACTTTCCCTCTTGGCACTCAACTTATTTTGATTATTTTGAAATAATCAAAAATGCCAAAAACCACCAGAACATGGGGAGAAAACACAAGATCTCCACGTGCTGCTTCCACAGGCTCCCCCTCCTCTCCTCTCACTTTCTCCCTGCTCCCCACTTCACAGAGGAATATCACTGACACATGGCACACACAGGAAGAAAATATYCATGGGGTTTATCCCCTCAGAAATTCAGAAGCCAAAGCAGCATCTCACCCCAAAGGAAATACAGAGTTAATACAAAAATAGAGCCCAAAACCAGCATTAGTTCAGCAGGTACAGTCATGGGAAAGCAGCTAAAATGGGGAAATAATGCCYGGAACTGATTGCTTCAAACATCAACTTACTGGGGGAAAACCCCATTCCCAATTCTCCATTTTTCATCYCTGAAAACTTCCAGTGTTTCTCTGTGCTACCCTGGATGCTCTCCGGCACGTGCTCTTTGGTGCACAAGGTTTTCTCAATGCCACTCTTGGTACAGCCAGCGCTGCTCTCTCCTTCTCCTTCTCCAAGGAGGAGTTGGATGGAGCCTGATAAGAACAGGAATTATCCAGCCACGAACTAAAATCAGGTCCTAATCAATGGCTATTAGGCCAACACCAAACTGAATCAGAACTTGATTCAGTGTAGGAAAACTGCCTCATCCCCGAACTCCCCTCTAACCCACATGGGACTATAACCCACCACCTCTGGCCTGAGCAGGATTTTTGAGAGCTGCCTGGCGRCATCTACCCTAGGGAGGCCACCCTGGGAACGCAGATGATGTTGAAATGCGTTCTGAGGTGGTCTTTGAGCGTGGGTTTGTCCAGGAAGCTGCGGCCGCACTCGGCGCAGGCGTGGGGCCACTGCTGCGCGTGGGTGCGCTGGTGCCGCAGCAGGTACGCGTGGCGCGCAAAGCTCTTGCCGCACTCCGTGCAGATGAACCACGGCACCGCCGCCTCCTCCGGCCGCCCCTGGTGGTCCCGCAGGAACTGCTTGAACTCGTCCAGGTCTCCCCACGCACGGAAGTGGCTGCTGCTGCCCATTCCCTTGGGATTTGCCGGGTTTGTTGCCGGATTGGGGCGACTCCCCGATGTCTCCCCCTGGTGCGAGCTGTGGTCTTGGGATGTTCCCAAGGATGATTTGTGCAGTTGGGTGCCTCCTGCACTCTGCACCTGGGATGTGATGGTGGCACCACCACGGCCTGGAACACGAGATTTTAAACATTCCAGTTATCTGATGTAATAGAACATAAATCTCCAAAGAACAATTCCTGATTCACTGCTTCTGGACAAAACCCCCCAAGTTTTGGGTAAAAAAAAAATAAAGCAGGGATGAACTGGAATCCCCCCTCCCTCCAATCCTACCAAGTTCAAAGTGCTGTCAGTGACCTCCCACAGCATCACAAACCTGTGCTGGGGCTGGCAGGAGTTTCCCCTCCCTTCAAATCCTGTGGATCCTTGACCTGTGCYGCTCCTCCTGCTGGGATATGGCTTTTGGGAACATGAGAGCCTGAACAAGGAACAGAAGGAACATGGAAATGATGGTTATTAATATTTCACCCTGACGGTTTTCCAGCAAATCCCTGCATCATCCATTCTAAAGACCATCTCTTATTCCAGGAAAAGATCCAACAAGGAGGGAGCGGCAGCAGCTGCTCTGGTGTCTAAAAGAGTGTCTGGGTACAGGTGAACAAGATCTGTGCTCCAACTTCTACAAAATATTCCAGAAATTACACCTGGAAGGTTGAAAATTAAATGTTGGCAAGAGGAAGGTCTCAAGTTTGAGCCTGAGCCCCAAATTCAGCAGCCCGGTGCTGGATTTTATGGTACAGTCCTGTCTTTTCCCTGATTAATTCCTCCTTGTGCAATGCCCCAAATTTCAGCAAGTTCTTCTAGGAATTAAAGGAATTACCTGAATGATGAAGAGGCAGGGAGGGCTCACAGCTTCAAATCTAAAACATCAATGACTTCAAGCAAATATGCAGCTGGGCATTTAAAGCTAATTAACAAGATCTCTTCATTTTCTGGGCATCATTCAAGTTATTTACCTATTTCTGCATCCAAACAGTTCTTTTCTCTTCAGTGAATCCCAAACCCAAACAAACAAGGTCTGGGATGAGGGAAATACAACTTCACTGTAATGAATGAGGGTACAGGATTAATGACCCCATGTGTCACTGCAGCTCCTGTACCTAAAACTTTTCCACTCCTTGTTCCTGGTTTTTGCTGGCACACGCATTCCCAGGGATCCTAAATTGTCCCTCACAGAGATTCACAAGTATTAAAGGTTAATTCTCTAAAAATCCAGGAYTGGGGAGTGACAAGAGCCAGGCCAGACCCAGCACATCTTCCCCAGAGTTGRAAAACCGACCTTTTCCCAACGTGATAAAAGATCCATATTTCTCCTTTAGCAATTGCTTACAAAATTCATTCTGCCAATCCTCCAGACGTGGCCACTGAGGAAATATCTCAGGAACCTAAAAAGCAGAATATTCCACAGTCAGTGCTGCTGGGGAGCTATGAATCCCTGAAAACCCTCTTTTCCCAACAGTTTTAACACGTGGGCACCTCCCAGCTGCTTCCAGCGATGTCTGTGTTATGTGTAAGCAGCATATTAATGAAGGATTTTACATAAGAACCTTCTACTGTTAATCCAGAATGAGAGGAAAGGCTTTCAAATGATGTGAGTCAGCCAGAACAATGATTTTCTCTAACAACTGGGTCACAAATTAGTCATAAAAAAAGATAGCCGTGGTCAGCATCCATGCCCAGCCCCCTCAGGGAATGTGGCTCTTCCTTCAATGAAAAATAAAATAATTCAGTGTTTTAAATAAACCCTGAGGCAAGGCTGCGATCTGTCAGACTGGCTGGAAAAGCTCCTCCCTTGTAATGAAAGCTTATTATTAGGGAATAATAATATTATTATTATTAATTAAGCCCTCTAAGGGATATTTTTCCAAGCTGCTTCCAAGGCTTTACACACAGATCTCCCTCTAATTTAATTTATCCCCATTATCCAACCCCTCAATTACCCTACAAWGCTCCGGATTCCGGATCCGTTTTCGGGTTTTGTTCTTCATTGCATCACAGATACCCTGTGGGGTCCCCACGAGCCAATTCCCATCTTCCCCCAGAAGGAATTTGCTGGGAACAGCTTCCTTCAGCAGGCGCCGGCTCTTGCGGACTTTCAAAGGATCCCTCTCGAAGGCGCTCTCCTCGAAATGTTTCGAGCACAGGCGCTGGTATTTGGAGGGGGTATCCATGTCCCGGCCCATGTTGTGGATCCACTGCCTCAGGAGGGCAGGGTTTTGTAAAGGGAACCCATAAAAAGAGACAGAGCTGTTCTTGTAGGCGCCGCTCGTGGCGTTCTGGCAGTTCAGGGCCGCGCAATAAACCATTGCCACACACCAGGAATGGGGGGTAAAACCCCAAAAACCACACCAGAAAGTAAGRTTAGGGAGTTCCTAATCAATCTCAGTCCCAAACAGGCCTAAATTTTTCCTAAAACCSCCATGGATTTGGTGAAGAGGAAGAGCTGAAGTGACTGAGTGAAAGCACAAGGCTGAACTTCCTACAGGAGCTYCCCACAGAGAAGAGTCAGGTCTTTTCCAACTGCTTCAAACCAACAATCTGAAAAGAAAAAAAAAAAAACCTTTAAAATCAGCATAATACTCCTTGAATATGCAGATTACATTTAATTAACCCCTGCYGTGCACACACAGACATGAACTTTGTTCATCTGTGTATCCATGAGGGATCCTCCTGTGCTCCAAAGGTTATCCAGCAAAAGGATAACAAAGGGCGGAGGGACAAATAATTCCCAAAAAATGAAGGTTTGGGGAGTGCCAAAGGATCCCCTATCATATCACAGGAGAGTCTCAGAGGTGTCAATCAGTGAGGAGATCTTTGGACAGGAACACTGGAATAGGGAATAACCCATCCAGGGATCCTGCTGCACCCTGCTGCGAAGAGGAGGGACATCCCAAGGTTTGTAGATGCCCATGGTCAAAAAGGAACAAGGGCAGAGGCTCCAAAAAAGCTCATAAGCTTGATTAGTAAATTAAACACYCAGCAGAGAAATTGGTATTTTTGCCCTTATCTTCTGGTAGTAAGGAAAATATATCAGTGAGGGAAAAGAGGGAAGAGAGAGGGCAAGATCAGATGGGGGAGGGAAGATCACCAGTCCTGACTCCAGCACTGATCTGACCCTGAGAGCACCTTTCACGGGCAAGTTTTCACCATCCTAGAATTAGACTTCTCATTTTTCATGTGAATGAGAGAGGATAAACAGTCCCTTGCCTCAGAGCTTTGAGAGAAGGGACTGTTTATCTTCACTCAAAGGCCTTTGGGGGTCTTGATTCACCTTGAATCAATGTTTGTTTGACACTCTATGCCCACTTCCCAAGCCCATTCCTGCACTAATTTCGCCTGTTGTTCTTCTTTCCACAGACCAGAACAGGGAAGTGGCCCCAGGAAGGTGCTGTGTGTCTCTGTGTACCCCGCTTCTCCTGTTGTAACGTGCTTGGGAATTTGGGACACAGCAGCAGCTTGGAAGGGCAGGGACGTGTTGGAGAGGGTCCAGAGAGGCCACGGAGCTACTGGAGTTCCCTGCTCTGCAGCCAGGCTGGAAGAGCTGGTAAYGTTCACCATGTCCACTGGAGAAGAGAAGGATCCAGGGAGAGCTCAGAGCCTCTTCCAGGGCCTAAAGGGGCTCCAGGRGAGCTGGAGAGGGACTGGGGACAARGGATGGAGGGACAGGACACAGGAAGTGACTTTAAACTGAAATAGAGRTGGGATATGGGGAAGGAATTCCTGGCTGRAGGGCGGGGAGACCCTGGTACAGATACTCCGAGAGCAGCTGTAACTGCCCCTGGATCCCTGGAAGTGTCYGAAGCCAGGGGTTTGGAGCAACCTGGGATAGTGGAAGGCGTCCCTGCTCATGGCAGGACTGGCAGTGCATGATCTTCCACATCCCTTTCAACACAATCCACTCTAGTCCGGCCCCGTTTCCACTCCCTGCACACCCCGGAGGTGTCTGCGTCTCTGCCCCGTCCCATGGCTGTGGCGGGAAGCGGTACCGGCGCTGCCCTCCCGGTGCCGCGGGGCCGGGGTCCTTGAGAAGGCGCACCAGGGCTGGAGAGGAGAGGCCGGAACCAGGTCTACKCCTCGGGAAGGGCTACAGGACCCCCGGCACCCCCCGCACACCGCCACGCTGCGTCGCCATCTTCCTCTTCTTCCTCCCCCTTAGCCGCGCCAAGCCGCAGCAGCAGCCAATCAGAACCCAGCCYTATCCAGTCCTCACACTCCATTGGCCCRCCGCCCCCGGCCCCGCCCACCCCCCGGCACGTGGTGGCCTCCACGAGGGGGGCGTGGCAATGGCGCTCATCTCCATTGGGCAGCGCGCGGGGGAAAGAGGGCGCTGATTGGACGAGACGGGAAGGGAGGCGGGGATTAGCAGCGGCGTCCTCTCGTTGCCATGGCAACGGCGGGGCGGGAAGCTCCACTGAGCAGCGGCCGCGGGACGGGGACGGAGCCCCGGGGATCTCTCACCGAGCACCGTCTCGGAGCGCGGTCCCGGGCCGGGGGAGCGCAGGGAACCTCCCCCGCCTGGAGAGCAGGCAGACCCACGGACCGGCCCCCACCTCCCCGCCGCTCCCCTCCACTGCTCCCGTTTTTTCCTTTGAAACCTGGGATTTGGTATGTGGAAGCCGCAGAGTTCCGCCTCTCGGCTTCAGCCTCGCTCTTCCCTTCCTCTCCCGCTGCACAACGACCAGTGGCATTTGCCAGTTTTAGTTAAAACCCTGAAATTTCCAGGTAACAATTCAAACATCCTGACAAAACTGAAGCAGAAACACCCAGGCAAAAAAAAAAAGCCCTTTAAGGAAGTTTTCTTTTAAGGAAAAGTGAAGGAGCTCTGACCCAAACAGGCTCTTCCCTGACTCAGACACTGCTGCTTCTCTATATTTTTCCCACCACGCCACCGAGAAGGTGACAAGTGACAAATCCAGACTCTTACTGGTAAAAAGAATMAATCGTGTCCTTGCAAGGCCACGACACGTCCGATTCAATTCCTTAAGAGACTCTGAACACGAGCAAAACGTCTCTGAAGGAGGATGTTCAACCAGCAGCTGCCGAGTCCCGCTCCAAAGGGAAGTTCCTGGGGCATTAAGATACCCGGGGTTCAAAAGGAACAACAAACGCCAGAAGGTCCCAAAAGAGCAACGAAGTTTGATTAGCAAATTACGCACTTGGCATGGAAATTGGGATGAGTTAGCCCCTTAGGTTCCATTAGTAAATYAAAAAGAAAGCAGGGAAGAGGGAGAGGTCAGGAAACATCACCTGGCTCCAGGGCCGATCCGCGTGTCCGGGGTGGGCAGGGTCCCGGGGATRCTGTTGGGGGCACCTTCTTATGGGTAAGTTTTCCCCGCCCCGGGATCACATTTCCCCCTTCAAATGCAAATAAGTGAGTGTGCGCAGACCTTCTCCTGGACCTTTCTGGAACTGAGTCGGAGGGCTTTGTGGGGTTGTGGTAATCTTGATGCCCCCTGTAGATCCCCGCGATCGCTTCCTCGCCGGCCTTGTCCCATTTGTGGTGTCTCCGCGCCCCGGAGGAGAAGTCGGCTTCCGGAACGGTGCTGCCCTATCTCCCGTGCCCCCCTCTCCAGCCACATCCTGTTCCATCCTGCCCCTTATCAGTGCTTGGGACACAGCAGCGCCTTAACTCCTTGAAGCCCTGGCTGCTACAATTGCACAGATTAGAAAATTTGTTACCCTGCAGAACGGGATGGAAACCTGGCGTGATCCCGAGAACCGGGTCAAAAATCATTCCTTACCTCCTCCAACAGCCCCTGAATCTCCTGGACCTCGGGGATGGAGCAGAAAATCGCGCATGAAAAACGAGCCCCATCGATCCCACCCAAGTATCGATTTGCAAGAACACCTYGGGCGCTGCCGAGGGGAAGACAAGGGCCGGGAACTGCCGACCTTTCCATAACAAAGGGCGCAGGGAGGGACACTCAGGGACACATCAGGCGCTAATCATCCCACATTGCCACTTTAGACTGCAGGGGGGGAAAAGCCGGGGGGGAAGGTGGGGGGTGGAATTCCTTTGTTTGGGATCCCTCCTTGGATGCACCACTTTGAGCTGTTTCCTGTTTGCTGTATTTTAATTATTTTAAGGATCCAGGTGCCCAATTTCCCATYGCTCTGCTATGGGAAATCTGGGATGGAGTCGGCGAGGGACCCCGTGTGAGTGTGGAGTGGGATCAAATAGGGACCCATCGGCTCACRGGAGCCGGTCCCAAGTCAGGTATGCTTGGCTGTGACTTCAGAGYKGCTCCTGCATGGTCAGACAGGGACATTTCCTTAACAGCCAGACATCCAGCAAGCGGAGTCTGATCCGTGCAGCCAGAATAATGGCCTGCACATTCAGATTCCAGCTGATTCTTGTCAACAATTAATAAAATTTCTAATGGACACGGGAACACAATATCAAATATTAACCTAGCAGGATGCTGGTGTAGGACCCAGAGGGCAAAGAGTTAAAAATTCCTGTGCCAAACTGCTYAGGTTAATTTATGGCTCTTGGGTAAGAAGGAGCAGCCTGCCAACCTTAACCCCAAAAGAATTCCAGAGGCTACAGTACCTGCACTCATTGTTTTAAAAATTATTAATGTACCACAATGGCAAAATCCAGCAGTGGCAGGAAAGTGAATTTCTGGAGTTCCAGTTTCTGGGGCCAGCTGAGTTGGCCCCAGTAAGAGCTGTGGGTCCCAACACTGTCAGCAGCACCCAGGGGTGTAGCATTCCAGGTACATCCCAAGAGTTGATATGTTGCTGTGTCCCAATAGGRTAACAAGGGACAAACTGGAACAGGGTGTGGCTGCAGAGGGGGACCCTCTGGTATTTTTGGCCCCTCTGATCTTTTCCAGTTTTGGGGTTTTCTTCCTCATTTTCTTCCTGTAACTGTTTCTACAGCTGCCCAGTTTTCACTGACAGCAATAATTCAGCTCTTTTCCTCCCTTCTATTTCCTCTCTTGGGTCTTGTTTCTCTCTACCACGCTTTTTCCTATCTAAATTCCCCAGTAAATCTCTTTCCCTGCATTCTGCTGAAGCAAATAAGAGTCCCAAGCTGATGATTCTTCAGGCCTAAATTTATCATTTAGGATTCTGCAGAAGGCCAGGAGATAAGGGGTCCGTGTGCGTGTCTCAAACACCAACAGCTACAGGGCCAGCCAAGGACTGTTATGTGTGACACAGAATGGGCCATGGAGATGGGAAAGGACAGGATTGGGCTGGAGAAGGGGGGCACACRGAGGTGGGAGAGCGCTTTTCTGGGACAGACACCCTTGCTCTGGCTCCTGGAGGTAAGCACAGCATGGAACAGCACAAGGCAAACAAAATTGATCAGTTTGGAGGGGATAAAAGCCACCAAAGACCCCCAAAACCATTYCTAGAAGGATCCAGAGGGATGGATTGTGTCTGCTCAACTGTGAAAAAAAATAGCCCCAGGGTTGGGAAAACTTGGCTATAAAAAGGTGATACAGTGTTCACAGGGGCACCTCTGSGATCCTGGACATTGTCAGCTGGATCAATGCTGGARCCAGGTGATCTCCTCCCCTTCTCCTCTCTGATTTCCCTTTCTATTCCCTCTTTCCTTTTACCTTTTTATYTCTTTTACTACCAGAAGATAAGGGYGGAGATACCAATTCCCGTGGTGAGCGTGGAATTTGCTAATAAAACTTGGTGAGCTTTTCTGGACCCCTCTAAACATCTGTCACTCCTTTTTGACCACGGGCATCTACAGACCTTGGGAGCTTCTACCCCCTTGGGAATGGGACACAACAGACCCAGAGGGGAGGCTGGAGGAGCAGAGCTGCCCTGCCCCCACATGGCCCCCTCCCCAGCAGATCTTGTTATCAGTGTTTGGGACACAACAGCTCATTAACTCCTTGTTTCCCAGAGTTCTGCAGCATCTCCATGTTCTGCTTTCACAGGATTTGGAAAATTGAACAARCACAGAAGACTGGTAACAATGTGGGAAAATAAATGCAACACAATTTCAAGGCTGTGTAAAATTGAAACCCTATTCCAGGCTTCCCCAATCATTTTACAACTCCCAGTAAGGATCTCACCCTTCAGGAATTCTCCCTTGGGGTTCAGCGTGGAGCCCCAGGATTTAACAGTGGGAATAAACTGCCTCTCAGGCTCTGCAGCCTTCCTTCTGTTTGCCACAGGGACAACACTTCCTTTCCCAAAGCATTTCACCCAAGTGGGTTTCCTGACTGTTTCACTCATTTAATGGACAGTTAACATCTCTTTAACTCACTTGTTCCCAGCCCAGCCCAAAGACTCCGGACTCCTGGGATAACAGTTCARACATTTGCTCTCTATTCAGGCAACTCTTCTTGGTAACACACATCACAAATTGTTCCCATTGTCAACGTGATTTCTCTCCCCCATTCAGAGCCAGCAGGACCTCCAGACTCCAACACCTCCCCAAATCCACAGGCACCGGTGAATGCTGTCTAACGTGGAAAATAACCCCCAACCACCTCCATTTTCCTGGGAGGGGCTCGGGATGGCCGTTCCACAGCCTCCTCCTGCTGCCACAGCCTGTCACAGAGCTGGGGGTGCTGCCCTGGCCCAGCGAGGGGACACTGAGGGGACTGTGAGGGATGTCCTATATGGAATGCATCTCGGAGCCCCCGATGTTCCTGCAGGACCAGCTGACCAGCGGCACGTGTGTGTCCTGCATGTGACCTTCCTGATGCTTCAGCAGGCTCCTCTTGAGCACAAACCTTTTGCTGCAGAGAGGACAGTGGAAAAGCCTCTCTCCCGTGTGCCGGCGCTGGTGGTTCAGGAGGTAATCCTTCCTCCTGTAGGTTTTGTCACACTTGGAGCACTTGTAGGGCCTCTCTCCCGTGTGACTTGTCTGGTGCCTAACGAGCCAGGAATGGCACACGAAGTTTTTTCCACAGGCGCTGCAAATGTAGGATTTGCCCCGGCCCTGGCTCTGGGGCTGGGCTGGGCTCCCCCGGGCCACGGGTGGCTCCCAGCAGGGGCTGGCTCCTGCYGTGTCCCTGGGGAAGCTCTCCTCGTTCTCAGCAGGTTCCTCTGCACCCAGCCTGTCCTGCTCCCAGGGCCTGGCTGTGCCCAGGGCAGTCTCTCCACACTTGGAGCGGGGCCCCGGCCCCTCACAGGAGGTGAAAGCGGCTCCCGGACCCATTCCAGTCTCTCCTGGGCCCATTCCCATCTCTCCTGGGCCCATTCCCATCTCTCCTGGGCCCATTCCCATCTCTCCCGGGCCCATTCCAGTCTCTCTCAGGCCCATTCCCATCTCTCCCGGGCCCATTCCCGTCTCTCCCGGACCCATTCCCGTCTCTCCCGGACCCATTCCCGTCTCTCCTGGGCCCATTCCTGTCTCTCCAGGGCCCATTCCCGTCTCTCCCGGGTGGGAGTGCAGCAAAGAGAACACCCTTTCACATGTGGGGCCTGGAAACATCTCCCCTTCTCCCTGGGGAGCCAGAGGCTGGTCCTGCTGTGGGGTGTTTCTCTCACACTTATACACACATGGCCTCTTTTCAAGGCTCTTCTCCTGAGCACTAAAGAAATCGTACTGAGCATCACTTCCAAGGCCGTTCCCATTCCCAGTGGCGTTTGCTTCCATYATTTCTGAGTTCCACTGACTGTCCCATGTCCCTCCATGGCTGGGATCCTTGGGAAAGCCCTCTCCCAGGCTTCTTGGTACCTCTGAATCATTGGTCCCAAAGCAATCTGCTGGATGGTCCCTCTTCACGTTGTCATCTGAAACAGAGATTTTGGAGCCTTTTAATTCAGACATAAGAATGTGCCTCCCAGCCCACATCATTAATACTGATGGGAGGAGGAAAAAACACAGCATCCACTGAAACAATCTCCAGGAAAACAGAAGGACTTTTTTCAACTGTGCTTTTTTAAATCTACATAAAAAAATCACTGCTGCAGTCTCACATTCAGCCTCTCACTCAAAACATCTGAGCCCTGTGACAGACCAGACACTGCCCCACCTCGGTGCCCCCAGACACTCCACTGAGAATCTCCAGGAGCAGGGTCCAAGCAAGGCCCTGGAGCCAGTTCAGTGAGTCACAGAACCATGGAATCTGAGCTGGAACAGACCCACAGGGATCATCCAGTCAMTCCTCCAGCCCTACACAGACACCACAACAATCCCACCCTGTGCCTGAGAGCGCTGTCCAAACACTCCTGGAGCTCTGGCAGCTTGGGGGCTGTATCCATTCCCTGGGGAGCCTGGGCAGTGCCCCACCCCACCTGGGAGAAGAACCTTTTCTAGATATCCAGCCTAAACCTGTCCTCCTGAGCTTACCAGAAACAAGGAATTGTTTCTGCTTTCAGGAATTAGTGTTATCTAATGAGCACCGGTCTTTTAATGAATAGCCTTGGAAATTTATTTTTTTTTCTTGCCTGAATAACAACCCAAGTGGAATAATATTTTTGTTATTGAACTTTATAAGAAAGTCACTGACTYGAATTGTAGCCAGGGTGGAAAATCACTGTGATTAAAGCCCACTTTCTTGCAACCCTATAAACTGTGGTCCCAAGTGAGACCTGCTGAGCTCCCGATTCCCAGAAAATAAAGGAATGTGTTTGTCCCAAACACTGATAACTGGATGGCCACGGAGCCAACCAAGGACTGTTGATTAACATGCCATGAGAAAGAACAAGATTTGGCTAGAGAAGGGGGGACCATGTGGAGATAGGGCAGCAGTTTCTGGGACAAATGTCCTTGTTGGAGCTCCTGAGACAAGTGCAACACAGCACAAAGGCAGCAAGAAGTGAATGGATTATGCGGGGGAACGAAAAATCCCCAAAGCCTCTAACCTGTTTCCAAAAGAAGTGACTGAAAGAAGTGACTGCATGGAAAGTAAGAAACTTGTATTCAGGGGGGATCCTGTCCATAAAAAGAACGGAGGGTACCCTCCATCCTCTCATCCACATTGTTTAAAGACATTAAACAGAGCTGGCCCCAGTACTAAGCCCTAGGGACACCACTGCTCACTGGCCACCAGTTGATGTCACTCCCTTGCCCAGCCCTATGTGGGCTCAGCCCTCAGCCAGGTTTTTATCCAGGTAAAAGCAGCACAAACTCGACCCTGCAGCCTGAGCACAGCTCTGGGCTTGCCCCAACACACGAGCCCAAGCCAGTGCCTCTGACAGCTTTTGGCTGGCTCTGGAGGAAGGAGCSTCTTCAGCTGACAGAACCCAAAATTTTTGTGACCAAATACTAACCAGCAGACCAAGATTTGTCCCAGTTCTCTCATCATTTACATCATAAGGTTGTGATATTTTATATAGTATTAAAAAATACTCTAAACTAGATTTACTGTCCCTGAAATGTCAGCTAAAATCCATTACTGACCTGTACTTGGATCTGCAGAGATTTTCTCTTTCTCCAAGTCCTGTTGTTCGGGGCAGGGTGGCTCCTCCTCTTGTTTAATCCACGATGAAACATCCGTTGCATAAGTTTGAAATCCTGTTCATTGGGGAGAATTTACACAACTGAGGAACACCGAGGAAGACACAAAGCACGGATAATTTGGGAACGCACAGCAGTAACACAGCATCAGGGAAGACACAACATGAAGAGCCATTAAGGGGTAATTCCTGCAGCGGAGTTTTTGCCAGATGCTCACCTGGGTCAGGATCTCTTGGGAACTCCTCACCCTCTGTGCCTGGCAGCTCCCTGACATCCATCTCATTGCCTTTCCTGGTCTGACTGGGTGCCTCAGGCTCGTAAAACCCTCGCTCTCCTAAGAGAGAAAATCCAGAAGTGCATCAGACCTGCCCAAGCTCAGGATTTCACAAGGCTGAACACCTGCTCTGGTCTGGGCTTTGTTTGGAGTCTGGTTCCCCAAGCCAAGCTCTTCTAAGCCCAGTTTCTTCAGGAAACCTGTTGGAAAGGTCTAAAAACCCCAGTGTGATCCAAATACAGGAAGCCAAGTACAATCCCAGTGGAGTCAACAGGCAGCACTGCCACCCTTTGTAAAGAGTGAAGAAAATCTGCAAARCAGAGTTTATTTGCAAATCAAAGAGGTTCCAAATGAGAGGGCAAAGAGCAGGGCCTGGGCTCTGCAGCCTTTCTGAAGGGTCTGTGTGTTCCTGTACCCAGGAAAACCTCAGAAGAGAAGGGAGGATGAAAAAGGCAACATGAAGGAATTTAGGGGAGGATCCACTCTTGGATAAAAACCAGCCACGTACTCCGCAATTCCAAAACGTCCCTGAGGACGGAAAGTCAACATCAGTCCTCACCTGTTGGGACTGCTGGCAAGGCTGCCCAAAACTTCTAAAATATTTGGAGCACACGAGCACAGGTGGGSAAAARYCCCMCACACAACCTGAAATTTAATCCCTYTCTTTTGCTTTCYCTCCAARGTATGCAGTTACTCACCTGGSSAGGGCTYTCCAGGAGCTTCTGCAGCCTCCTCCTCCTCTCCATCTGCAGTACCCAACTCTTCCTCTCGCTTAATCTGGATTATGCTGTTTTCTGCTAACAGGCACCAGTGTTATGTTAATACCATACAAAACTCATTCCAGCTGTCAGCCCAGCCCAGGCAGATCTGCTCTGTTCTAGCTCACATTCCAGAGAAAGCCTCACTCCATTCTAGTTCCTGCTGACCAAGGCCTCTGAACAGACCTGAAATGTTACAAAACCCTCAGCAGATGTCTTGAGCCCGAGAAACACACGCAATTTTTATGCAAGTGAAAACACGTTCTCCATGGCCCTGGGAGAGGCCAGAGCCACTCGAATTCTTGTCCTTGGGTTTCATTTCTCTCCTGGTGCCGCTAGAGCTCTGTTGTTGTTTCCTTTTCAATCCCGCTCAGTTACACACCACTTCTCACCCATCAGAGAAATGCGAGAAAAGAGCTCTTAGAGAATAACTTATGAAACTTAGTGAAAAAAGAAAACAAAACTCTGTGGAATAAAAAAAAGCAGATGGGCCAGTGCTCTGCACCTTTACCGTGCAGATCTGGCCAAGGGGACTGATGAATTTCCCAGGAGAGGGAAAGGAAGGGTGTGATGGAGATCCTGGGAAGGCTGGCAGGGATGGAAAGCCTGATAGCTGTATTTGGAAGACCACTTGGCACAACAAGCGCCTTGGAGAGAGGCTGGTCAGAGAATCATGGAATTGCTGAGGTTGGACAAAGGCCTATAAGGTCATCAAGTCCAAGCATTTCCCAGCACTGCCAAGGTCACCACCAACCCATGTYCCCASGTGCCACATCCACRGGGCTGTTACATCCCTCCAGGGATGGACACTCCATCCCTGCCCTGGGCAGCTGTGCCAGGTCCCGACAAGCCTTTTAGGAAAGGAATTTTTCCAGTATCCAAMCTGAACCTCTCCTGGCACAGCCTGAGGCAGGGACAGCTTCTCCTCCTGTCCCTGTTCCCTGGGAGCAGAGCCCGACCCACCCCCGGCTGCCCCCTCCTGTCAGGGAGTTGTGCAGAGCCCCAAGGTCGCCCTGGAGCCTCCTTTGCTCCAGGCTGAAACACCACCCACACCCCAACATTCCCAAAACCTGGTGGGTGCTCGGTGCCCCCCTCCCTCTACCCCATCGGCCCCAACGCCACTCACCAGTGCCGGCCTCCACGGGATCCCCTCTCCTGTCCAGGTCCTCGCAGCTCCAGGCCCTTGGCTGGGGCCCACCCTCCGCCGGGGCCTGGGCGCTCTGTCCAGCGGCGTCCGGTCCTGTGGGGAAAGAGCTGTGAAGGGCCGGGGTCCCCTCAGAGTCATGAAGGGCTGGGGTCCCCTCAGAGCCATGAGGGGTTAAGGGCCCCTTAGAACCATGAGGGGTCGGGGTCTCCTCAGAGCCATGAGAGGCTGGGTTCCCCTCAGAGTCATGAGAGGCTGGGTTCCCCTCAGAGCCATTAAGGGCCAGGGCCCCTCAGAGCTGTGAGGGGTTAAGGGCCCCTCAGAGCCTGAAGGGCTGGGGTCCCCTCAGAACCATGAGGAGTCGGGGTCCCCTCAGAGCCATGAAGGGCTGGGTCCCCTCAGAGCTGTGAGGGGCCGGGGTCACAGCAGAGCCGTGAGGGGTTGAGGTCCTCTTAGAGCCATGACAGCACAGGATCCTCAAGCAATGAGGGATCAGGATCCCCCTCACGATCCACTCAGAGCTGTGAGAGATCGGGGTCCACATGGAACCATGAGGGATTGAGGATCCCCTCAGAGCTGCGAGGGATCAGCAATTCCCTCAGCGCCACGAGGGAACAGGGATTCTTTCAGAGCCATGAGGGAAAAAGGGTCATCTCAGAGCCCTGAGAGAACAGGAATGCTCTCAAAGCCATGTGGGAACAGGGATCCTCTCAGAGCCATGAGGGAACAGGGATCCTCTCACAGCCATGACAGAATGGGGTGCCCTCAAAGCAGTGAAGGATCAGGGATCTTCTCAGAGCTGTGAGGGCCTAGAGTCCCCTCAGAGCCATCAGGGATCAGGGATCCTTTCTGAGCCAAAGGCACTTGTGGATTCTTTTAGAGCAGTGAGGGATTGAGGTTCCTATCCATTTGGGTTGGATACTGGGAATATTCCTTCCTGGAAAGGGTTGCCCATCCCTGGCACAGCTGCCCAGGGCAGTGGTGGAGTGCCCATCCTTGGATGGATTTAAAAGCCATGCGGATGTGGCACTTGGGGACATGAGYCAGTGGTGGCCTTGGCAGTGCTGGAGAATGCTTAGACCTTATATTCAGAGCCCTTTTCCAACTTCAACAATTYGGTGATTCTGTGATTGCTGCAGGCACTCTGCCTGTGCACAGGGACAACTCCTATTCTTCCTCTCAGTCCTAGAAAAGCAGCGCCTTTCTGTGTCACTTCAGATTTTGTCTTGAGTTCAGGGCTCTATTTTTGCAATTCAAACAACACAAATCCCAAAATAGCTCCGATATTTGTTATAAATATATGTATTTGTCTCTAGAATTCAGGAGAGCTGGGCTGGAATTGGGAAACTGTGACTGACATGTAAAATACAGCGTCACCTCTGCTATCAAAGGCAGCTTCAAARAGAGATGAAACACGGAGAATGAAAAATACAGAAACAGCCCAGAAAGAGCACCTCAGGGTGTCTGTAGAATAATTCAGGAGTGCTGCTGAGATGATCCCGAATGAAACTCAGGATATTCTGGTCACAAGGGAATTGCAAACGTCCCTCCACTGCTTTATGCAGCCACAATTTTGCCTGTTTATTGCAGTCTTACAGAATCCTAGTAAGGTTTGGGTGGGAAAGGACCTTAAACCTCATCCAGTGCCACCCTCTGCCATGGCAGTCCACTGTCCCAGGCTGCTCCAAGCCCTGTCCAGCCTGGCCTTGGACACTTCCAGGAAGCCAGGGGCAGTCACAGCTTCTCTGGGCACCCTGTGCCAGGGCCTCCCCACCCTCACAGACAGGAATTCTTCCCCAATATCCCACCAAACCCAGCTCTGTGCCAGCAGGAAGCCGCTGCCTCAACATTATCCTGCAATTTAGGGCACTAAGAACATAAAATAAAATGAAGCTATAAAATGAACCAAATTCTAACTGGACCAAAAAACAGAGTGTAATTTTCCCTCTTCCTGTACTAAAGCAGCAATTGGCCAAAATTTTAGGGAGAGTTCTGAACACGTTTGTTCCTGAGTCAGATCTGACTAAGCAGAGATTGAGTGGAACTTGGTGTCTGTATCCAACAATTAAATCCACAAGGAGATGAAATGCAGCAGGAGCCCCAACAACTCCATTCTGAGATGCTGCCACGACACCATCAAGTCAAARGGATCTCCCTGTAAAATTCTGATGTGAGATGAACTGTTGATTCCATAGACTTCATCAGGATGGAACAGCTCCATTCAAATAATCTGACATCCCACAGAACCCACAGATTCTTGGATGAGAGCAAGCTAAGAATGCTCTTTACAACYGAGTATTTTGACTGAAAACCCAAATTTTATTGTGAGCCAGTAAGGATAAGTTTTCCCTGGCAAGGAAAGCTCCATCTGACCTAAATAATCATGTGGTCATTATTATTTAGCTCTTTTGATTTGTTAATTCCACTTATTTTCAAATTTCCTCCTCTTGACCCTCTATATTTTGGTCTAAATATCTGTCTGCAAATTGTAGTATTTTACTATTCTTGTGACAGCACTGACAGGGACTCTGGAGGCCAACAGCGTGCCAGTGTCCTCACCTGCAGCACCTCATCTTCCCAGCATTTTAACCTTCCCAACAACAAAACTATCCATAGGCACCCTGCCCCTCAGCATGGCTCCTGCTCTCTCCCCACTGCCTCGCCTGCCCCTCCTCAGCCCCCACATCCCACCACACAGTGTCCCTCGGCAGGAATGTCAGGGATTCCCACATCTCTGGCAGCACAGCATGCTGTGGGATCACAGGGAACTCACCCACATCGAGCTCGGAGAACTCCATGCCCTCCATGGCTCCTTGCTCCTTTGCATACGGTGCTTCCTCCTTTTCCTGCTTCACGGTGAACGCAAAACTCGGCTCTGGAATGCTGCAGTCTGCCGAGCAAAAGAGAAAACTCCTTTACTGGGGAAGAGGAACACCTTTTACTGGTTACCACAGCACCACTGGACTCCTCCCTTGCTGCCCCAAGAAGTTTGTGCCCACCCACCCACCCTGCTGCCACAGGCGAGCTCTCCAGCACCTCCCATTCCTGCTTCTGGGAGCTCGGCTCTGTCTTGCAGGGAAACGCTTCCCCCTGTACCCCCAAGCTCCACAGGGTCCTTCACACCCTCGAGCCCAGGTCCTCCCACAGCTCTCACCATGTCCAGGTTCAGCCAGCTCTGTTCTTCCCTCCTGGTTTTCCTGTGCTTCTGTGCTGTTCCAGCTGCTCACATTGAGTTCAAACAGCAGAGCCTCTGCCAATGACAGAAATCATGGAATCGGATTGTGAAATCCCAGGAGGGTTTGGGTTGGAAGGGACCTTCAAGATARTCTTGTTCCAACCCCTGCCATAGACAGGGACACCTTCCACTATCCCAGGTTGCTCCAAGCTTTGTCCAATGTGRCCTTGGACACTTCCAGTGATAGGGCAGCCAYAGGGCAACCTGTGCCAGGGCCTCACGMCCCTCACAGCCAAGAATTTCTTCCCAATTTCTAATCCTAAAAATCAAACCTGTTACATTTTTCTCACAGTTATTCCCCCTGAATCTGCTCCTTCTGCGATCCAACAAGTTCTCTCTGGACAAACCAGGATGATCACCTTGTGACAGCCTCTGTCTGGTGACAGCACCACACAACCCTCACCCCCCGAATTCAAGCTTTAATTCGTCCCTTGCTTGCACCTGGTTCTGCTGGGATCTCTCCAGGAGCTGCTTCCTCCTCACTGCAGGGTGCTTCTCCTCCCTGGAGCCGGGACAGGAGGGCAGGTTCAGAGATGACATCATCTGACAAGGAACAGGGAAAGGAATATTTCCATGCTGCATGCACATGGAGGAACACACCCTGCTGTGCTCCCCAAAGCAGCTCCATCAGCTACAACACACAGCTGGGAAGCACAGAGAGTCACACACCAGCCTCACTGTGTTCCCACAATTTGCTTCCCAGGTGTGGGAAGTATTCCCTCACCAGAGCCAGTCTGGAAGCGCGGATAACTGACCCAACAGCGACACTCACCCAGCAGGACCAGGGCTTCTTTCTTCCCTGCCAGCACCTTTCCATAGAGCTCTTTCTGCCACTCCTCCAGGTTCTCCCACTCTGGAGTGGAAAAGCCAGTAGCATCACTTTCCAGTGCYGCAGCCTGAGCCTGCAATCCAAAAAGTGACACAGTCTGTACCATTCCTGGAACACAGAGAATCCTGCTTCTTATTTAGCCCTGCTACCAGGCATCAGGGAAAGGAAATTCCTGCCTCGGGGCATCCTCTGGACACTGAGAGTAACAGTTTGGATCTTTGCTAAACTTTGGGAGATTGATTTGTGCATTCCACAATATTCTTACTTCCCCTGTGCGGAGCCTGATCCCACTGGGAACCTCAGAGTGGGGAAGAGCTTCCTGTGTSGGTAAAAACACGACAAACCATCCTTTTGTAGGGAAAACCAGCTGAACATAACAATACACAAGAGCAATCACTTCCAGCTTTGTGCCTTCGCACGACAGGCGACAGAAGGAGTCTTGGCACGAGTTCATGGAATGATTTCCATGGGGGAAGGCTACCGGGAGAGGTGAGGAGCAGAGGAKCCTCTGCTTTGTCCATGCTCCCCCCAGACCTCTCAAAGACCCGTTACCTTGGGGGCCTCCATCCCGGAGGGCAGCCGCAGGATCCAGAGATTCCTGTTCTTCAGCAGGTTCTCCATGTTCTCCAGGCGCTGCTGGAGCCGCCCGTACTCCTGGATGAGGGTGTCCAGCGCCGCGCACTTGCTCTCCAGCCGGTTCCCCAACTCCCCGACCACTTTCTCGCAGTCCAAGTGCTTCTTCTCGCTGTTCCCGGCACGGTGCTCCAGGCTGAAGAGGCGGGACGCGTGTGCGGCCACGCTGCGCTCCAGCGCCTGCACSACCGCCACCACGGTCCACAGCGAGATGGTGCTGCCGCCCGCCAGCTCCATCCCCGCACCGGAGACACGGAGCGCAGCGAGAGCCTGCGGCACCGGGGCCGGGCAAGGGAAGGGAGAGGGGCAGGAGAGCCCCGGTTTGGCCGCTGCCGCACACCGGGTCCGGCCCGGTCCTTCCCGTCCCTCCTGGACCGGAGCCGGAGCGCTCCGCTCGGGACCGACCCTTCCCCGCCGCCGCTCCTGCCGTCCCTGCGCCTTTCCTTGCCGCCAAGACGCGCCGCTTCCTCTTCCTCCTCCGCTTCCGCCGCCGCCACAGCGACCCCCGCCGGCCGGCAGCCCCCGCAGTGATTGACAGCTGTCAGTCACCGGGAAGGGGCAGCAAACCCCCCGGGGTTCCACCGCAGCGGCGCCTCCCCGCGAGTCACAGAATCCCAGAATTCCAGAATGGGTCAGGCTGGAAGGGACCACAATGGGCACTTGGTGCCATCCCCCTGCTCCAGCAGGGCCATCCCAGAGCACAGGGCTCAGGATCAYACCCAGACAGTTCTGGAATATCCCAGAGAGGACACTCCAGCCCCTCTCTGGGCTCTGTCCCAGCTCAGTCCCCGACCAGGGCAGAAGTGCTACCTCCTGTGCAGGGGGAGCTCCTTGGGCTCAGTGCCTGCCCGTCCCTCCGGTGCCATCGCTGGGCGCTGTTCGGAGCCCTCCCTGCACCCAGGGACACCCAGGGACACCCAGGGCCGAGGGCCCCTCTGGGCTGGGGCTCCTTTGGAGGCTGAGCAGCCCTGGCTCCCTCAGCCCTTCCCGGGCACAAAGATGCTCCAGACCTTTCCTCATTTCTACAGCCTCTGCCAGCCCCGCTCCAGGAGCTCCATGTCCTTCCTGTGCTGAGGAGCCCCGAGCTGGATACAGCACTCCAGAGGTGCCTACAGGGCTGGGCACAGGGGCAGGATCAGTTCCTGACCTGCTGGGAATGCTCTTCCCAATGCACCCCACAATCCCCCTGGCCTCTTGTCCTCAGGACAGCCTGCTGGCTCAGGGACAGCTCCTTGTCCACCAGGACCCCCAGATCCTTCCCTGCAGAGCTGCTCCAGCAGTTCCCCCCCAGCCTGTGCAGGTACCTGGGGCTGTTCCTCCCCAGGTGCAGAACCTGTGCTCGCCCTTGCTGAATTCCAGAAGTTTCCTCTTTGCCCATGTCTCCAACCTGCCGAGGTCCCTCTGAAGGGCCGCACAGCCCTCGGGGGGATTGGCTGCTCCTCCCAGCTTTGAGTCCTCAGCAACCCTCCTGAGGAGGCATCGACCCCCACACCCAGGTTTGTGATGAACCAGCCGAACAACACCGAGCCCAGCAGAGCCCAGCCCTCCAGCCACACCCCGTGTCAGTGACCGCGACCCTCCGGGAGCTGCCACTCAGCCAGTTCCCAACCCACCCCATCCCACTGCCCATCCATCAATCCATCCAACCCGCCCCTCTGGGAGCTCGGTACCGCCCTYCCCCATCCCTCCCCATCCTATCCCACTGCCCATCCATCCAACCCACACCTCTGGGAGCTCGGTGCCGCCCCTTTCAGCCCATCCCACCGCCCGTCCATCCCACCCAGCCCTGTGGCGGCGTGTCCTGTGCRGGTCCGTCCCGGCCGCAGCCGAGCGGGGCCATGGCGGAGCTCCAGGCGCGCCTCGAGGCGCTGGAGCGGCGGTTGGAGCGGGCGGAGGCGGCGCTGCGGGACCGGCCCCTCGCGGCCCTGCAGCTCCACGGGGTGAGCGCCGCGATGGGGGGACCGGCGGGACCCCGGAGGGGGCGAGGGGGGGTCGCCTGTGGGGCTGAGGGCGCTTAGGGGAGTGATGGGGACGAGGAGGGCTGGGAGTGGGATGGGGGAGTCACTGATGGGGCCGTTGTGGGGCTGGAGGTTGGGAGTGAGCCTGGGGGGGCACTTAGAGGGATGATGCGGGTCGAGGAGGGCTGGGAGTGAGCATGGGAGGGCACTTTGGGTCTGGTGGGAGGTTGAGGGGGAGCCTGGGGGTCGCTTCTGGGGCTGTTCGAAGGGGGATTTGTGGCTGGGAGGGAGCCTGGGGATCGCCCGTGGGGCTCTTGAGGGTCTGGGAGCGGTTTGGGGGCTCCTAGAGGGCTCCTGAAGGGGCTGCAGTGGGTTTCAGGAGACTGTGGGGGGAATCCAGTGGGTTCCCGGTTGGCCGGGAGCCTGTTCAGGTGGCTCCTCAGGGGGCAGCAGAGGGTTTCAGGAAGCTGTGGGGGTGAATCCATTGGACTCCTGGGGAGTTGGGAGCTGCCGTGGGAACAGGAGACTGGGGATAAATCCAGTGGGCTGCTGGGAGCAGGCAGGTTTAGGAGACTGGGAATAAGCAAGGGTGACTCCGTATGGGTTTTTTTGGGGCTACTGAAGGGCTGGGGCGCCTGAGGGTCTGGGAGATTTCGGGGGAGAGGCCCTGTGCCACATTCCAGCCAATGCTGCAGGTCCCTTTGGTGTTCGAGGATGTGGCAGTGCGGTTCAGCCGGCAGGAGTGGGCGAGCCTGAACGAGGGACAGAGGGATCTGTACCGGAGCGTCATGGAAGGCAACTACGAGATGCTGGTGTCCCTGTGTAGGCTGCGTTTGCGCCGGTTTGGCAGCCCCAGGGAGCTCTCTTGGGGTCACTTCTCTGCCTCTTTGCCTTTCACTGGAATCTCCAGCTCTCAAACGATCCTCTCCTTTCACTGTCCTCTCTGGCACTGGTTGGAGCGTGGCAGGAACACACGTGACAGGGTAGTAAGTGCTTCGTGTCTTTTCCTCATGGAGAACAGGTATACAGTTGGTCTTGTCATCTCCCTGGATTGTCACCTCCACAATTCCCTGGCTGGGATGCCCCCTTCCATGAGCATTTTCCCTAAAATCACTCTTGACGCTGTTTCCTCTTATCCTGTTCGCTGGGAACAGATCCTGATTCCCCTCGGCTGCTCCCTCCTGTCAGGGATTTGTGCAGAGCCAGAAGGTCCCCCCAGAGCCTCCTTTGCTCCAGGCTGAGCCCTCCAGCTCCTGGTGCTCCATTCCCCAGCTCCGTTCCCTTCCCTGGGCATGCTTCAGCTCCACAATGTCATGAAGGGTCTCAGAACTACTGTCAGTATTTGAGGTGGTTCCTCGCCTTGTGCTCTTGGGCAAACACACAGTCAGGAGCCTCACCATTCCCTTCCCATCTTTCCCGCTATTTTCCTATCTGCAGGGTGAATTTGTGGGAGGACGGGGAATTCTGTTGCAYGGGTGGAGCAAGGATGGATTTTGTTGCAGTTGTTCCTGGGGTGCTGTCACAGGCTGCTTTCCATTCTCCCCTGTCAGCTCTGCCTGCTGTTTCTGCCTGTATCCATAATTCCCGTCGCGGCCCTGCTTGGGGATGAAGTGTCCTGGGCTGGGACTGGCTCTGTTGCCTGGCTGTGGCTGCAGAGTCCCTGTCCCACCATGGCCCTGATGTCTGTCTTGCTCTTGCCCAGACTGTGCCCTGTCCAAGCGTGAGCTGTTACCATGGCTGGAAAGAGAAGAGCTGAGCACGCCAACAGAATCGAGGCCAGAGGCGACAGAGGTGTTCCCAGAGCTGGCTGTAGGTGGGTGACACTGGGTTTCTTCTGTGCCARGAGCTCCTGACTGCTCACTGAGACTATGGCCTCAATCCCAGGGACTGAAAATCCCAGAATCCCAGAATRGCTTGGGTTGGAATGAACGTAAAACCTCATCTCTTTCCATCCCTCTGCCATTGGCAGGGACACCTTCTCCTTGCAYAGGTTGCTCCAAGTCCCGTCCAACCAGGCCTTGAACATTTCCAAGGACTGGGAGGTGTCTGCTGTGAGGGAACACCTGATGGGACATGTGGGTAGCCTGGAAGCCCCCACCCCAGCAGCTGCTGGGTGTGAGGAATCCTGACACCCTGTGGAATGGAATCCCACACTGGCTCCTTGGAGTTCTCCACTGGCTGATGGTGAATCCAAATGTCCTTGTCCTCCACAGAGCTGGCCCAACAGAACTGCACCAGTGATGACACAGTGCTGGAGACAGAGACAACGGCGGGGGGCTGCAGGGAGGCAGAGGAGAGCGGGAATCTGGTACAGGAAAAGGAGAACCTGGCGGAGGAAAGCAGAGACTTGACAGAGGAAAGCTGGAACTTGGCAGAGGAAAGCGAGAACCCAATGGAGGAAAGCAGGAATCTGGCAGAGGAAAATGGGAGCCCAGCTAAGGAAAGTGGAAACCTGGCAGAGGAAAGTGGGAACCTGATGGAGGAAAGCGGGAACCCAGTGGTCTCAGAGAACTACAGCACATGTGAGTGCCTGGCAAATCCCACTGCTGCTGTGAGGGGTTCTAGATCCCTGCCCGGCTGCTCCTCACCCACCTTCCTTGTTCCTTTTGCCCTCAAAGCACCCGTCCCTCTGGAAGCTGCTGCTGTCCCGGTGGATCCCAGCCAGCCGGCCCTGTCCCCTCCCTGCCTGCTCTCCGTGTGCTCTCAGGAWGCAATGGGTCAGAACTGTTCTCCATCACCTTTCCCTGCAGCAGGTACTGGGGCAGAACCTCTGTCCCTCCTTGGTGGGGCTGGCAGCTTTGTGGGGGTCTCTTGGGCCTCTCTCCAGGCCCAGGGTTTCCAGAAAAGGGCAGCAAATCCTGTTGCCAGCCTTGAAACTGTTTGGGATAAGGCACAGCATGGCATCGGCTCACCTGCCCAGAGAAGCCCCAGGGTGGTTGTCAGAGTTCCCTGTCCTACTTGCATGATGTTTGCCACCTGAAACTGCTCCTGGGGTATGTACAGGGATAAGCTGTGGCTGTTCCTGGCTTTTACACAGTCCAGAGACTGAGCTGGAAGAGGAGAGCGAGGCTGGGATTTGTGCTGGCTGAGAACAGGGTGGGAAAGGTGGGATGGTGGGAGCAAAGCTCTTTGCTGTTCATGCATTGAAACCACATGGAAAAGTGATGCTTATTTCTAAAAAATTCCCAGTAGATGCTGAGACGAGGATCCCAACAGAGGTGTCGCAGGAGCAGGTTGCTGAGGAGAAGCCATCAATGCCCAAAACACCTTCTATGAGTCCGGAAGAGGAGAAAGGTCTGGAAAAGGAGAGTCTGAAAGATTCAGGGAATACTGGCCAAGATCTGGTGGCTGACATTCCTGAAGAACCAGGAAAGAAGGTGACACCAGATGTCTGTGGAATGATGGAACAGGCAGATCCCAGCCCCAAGGAGCCGGAGAAGGACTCCTATGTGGGCCGGCTGGCGGCCTGCCAGCGAAATGCCACCCGGGAATATTACTCCTGCCCTATCTGCAGGAAAACCTTTCTGCTGAAGATCAACCTCCTGATCCATCAGCGTGGCCACACCAACTGGGTGCCCTACGTCTGCGTCCACTGCGACCGCAAGTTCATGTCCAAGAAGAAAATGAGGCGGCACCTCCGTGCCTGGGCAGCCAACGGGACATGCCAGCCCTCAGAGCTGGAGGTGTGTCCCAGCCAGGTGCCATACCCAGCATCCCATCCCCAAACCTGGGCAGCTAACGGGACATGCCAGGCCTCAAAGCCAGAGGAGTGTCCCAGTAGGACACAGTGCCCAACATCCCAGCCCCAAAGCTGGGCAGCCAACGGCACCTGCCAGCCCTCAGATGCGAAGGCGTGTTCCAGCCAGGGGCTGTGCCCAACATCCCAGTGCCCAACATCCCAGCCCCAAACCTGGGCAGCCAATGGCACCTGCCAGCCCTCGGATGTGAACATGTGTCCCAGCCAGGGGCCGTGCCCAACATCCCAGCCCCAAACCTGGGCAGCSAACGGGGCCTGCCAGGCCTCAAAGCCGGAGGAGTGTCCCAGCCAGACGCTGTGCCCATCCTCCCAGCCGCAAGCCCCGAGCAGGGAGTGCAGCACAGTGTGGCAGGAGCCCAGCCCTGCCAGGTGCTCGCTGTCAACTGGAAATATGATGTACACGTGCAACGAGTGCCTGGAAAATTTCTCCAGCCAGAGCTTCCTCACAGTGCACCAGCGCAGGCACAAAGGGCACCACCTCATCCTGTGTCCCTGCTGCAACCGGAGCTTCACCTGGGTCTCGGACTTTGTCCGGCAGCACATGGGTGTCCGGCCCCACCAGTGCGGCATCTGCCAGAAGACCTTYAAGAGGTTCTCCCACCTCAAGGCGCACAAGAGGGTCCACAGGCGGCAGGAGCGGCCGTTCCCCTGCGCCAACCCGGTGCCCATCCCGGCGGCACCCGCAGCAGGAGATGGGGCGGGAAGCCAGGATGTGAACCTCCAGGGATGGAGCGCTGCTGTTGGACATTGAGGTGTCTTCCAGGAACGGAAGGCTGCCGTTGGACCTCAGGGTGTGCTGTTGAAATTTGAGGTTGTCATCAAAACTATGGGAAAAACAAAAACCCTCCAACAACATTTTTGATGTTAGAGAGTCAACTTTACTCTGGTCAGGATGTTGTTCTGGCCAGGWTGTGCCACAGAAACCATTTTGTCTACACATAGGCTGGGTGGCAGTGAAAATCATTCCATGACACACACATTTTTACAAGATTTTCTCCAAATTTTATACAGTCAAAACCCATAGAACTTCATCGATTGGTCCAAAGTTGTGTAGTCTTCATTGGTTCTTCACCTCTGATGGTAATTATGTCCTCCTTTTTATCTCTCTTTTCCCAGACCAGGCGTCTTGGACCACACTGGGAGGCCCGGTCTGGGGTAGATGTTTGTTGATGTTTGCTGATGGGTGTTGTCTTTTGGGTATCACTGGGGCTATTCCCAATCTGTTGAAATGTTGTGCTCATCTCCATTGAGTGGTGTGACATGTCTTAAAAAAATCCTTACAATTATTTTCTCCAAGGTGAAGGCAAATGAAAATCCCTGAGTAAAGTCATATAAAARATTTTAAACTCTGGGAGGTGACCTCCCAGAGACTTCAGGTGACATCTCAGGGTGCTGCTGGTGAACTTTGAGGTGACCTCCTGGACACAGGGTGCTACTGGTAGACTTTGAGTTGATGTCCTTAGGACACGAGGCTGCTGTCTGATCTTGAAGTGAGGAATGGGAAGCTGCTGATGGACTCTAAAGCCTCCTCTCAGGAATGGGATACACTGATGAACTTCGAGGTGTCCTCAAAGTAATACAATGCTGCTGCTGCTGAACCTCGAGGTGACCTCCCGGGAACGGGATGCTGCTGCTGGACCTTGAAGTGCCTCCCAGTGATGTGATGCTGCTGCTGGATCTTAAAGTGACCTCGTGGGGACCRGAGGCCACTGTCAGACCTTCTCCCCTCTCCCTCTCCACATGAAGGCTGGAGGATGGGCAACATTTTCTGGTTCCCCTGCCCTGGTTGGGGGATGGGGGAACCTGCCCCAGCCCATGGGAGGGGGGCTCCTTCCTCCCGAGCCCTGGTGAGGTGGGTGGGTTGCTGGGAGTGGGTCTCTTTTCTGGAGAGTGCCAATAGATAATGTAGAAACCACGATTCTGAATGTGAATTCCTTGAGGGGCCTCTGGGAGGGTCCTGCCAGGCCTGGCTAAGTGGGTGGCACCAGGAATGGGATCCATGGGATGGAATGATGGAATTGTGAGAATGGTACACTGGGCTGGGGCTGTCACTCTCTGCTGGGGGGCTGGAGCCACAGTCCCAGTTTGAGATGGAAATGGCGTGGGATGGGACTGGGATTCCAGATGGGTCTCTGAATGGTGGTGAGGGTCACTGGGCATGGGGGATTGAGGAGCTGGAGCTGTGATCCCTGTGCAGGGATGGGGGCGGGATGAGGATGGAATAGGGGTGGGATTGGGATTAAGGTGAGAGGGGATGTGGATGGATGGAATGGGGGTGAATGGGAATGGGATGGACATTGGGATGGGGTGGGATGTGATGGAATGGGAAGAAAATGGGGATTGAGATAGGATGGGACAGGGCTGATAGAGCCTGGCTTGTTACAGTGGAACCTGACTACAGGACAAGAGCAACAGGCAGGAACTGATGCCMAGAAAGTTCCACCTGGACAGGAGGCAGTGCCTGAGCACTGGAACAGATTGTCCAGAGAGGGTGTGGAGCCTCCCTTGCTGGAGTTACTCCAGAATGGTCTGGACACAATCCTGTGCCCTGTGCTSTGGGATGACCCTGCTTGAGCAGGGAGGTGAGAGCTGCTGTGGTCCCTTCAAACCTGACCTGTTCTGGGATGG